ATAAACACTAACCTTATCGACCTCCCACCATGCAGGATAAAGTTTAGCTTGTCCATTGCCCAACAAAAATGATTCATCTCGTTGATTCTTCAAGTGAACTGCGTGAAAAGCCGTCGGCATTATTGTATATAGCGAATTTTTTTTATTTTTCCTAAGCTTCCTTATTATTAGTAGACGTGACACCCACGCATCGATATGCTGTTTTACAAAAAAATACATATATTAGTGAATTACATTAATTTTTAAACAAATTAATCAAAATCATATATAAGACAAATATAAGACTTACCTCCCCATCCAAATAGCCACTGTCTTCAACCCCTAATAGCACACCCCACCAAGACCGATCAAGCAACAAAAACATTTCATCGTTGAGTTTGCTGATGTCAGTGTAACACCCTTGGCTCCGCTCATGTAGATAAAAATCAACTGCGGTCTTAACCCAAAGGGTATTATCCACAATTGTTTCCGGTAGTTGTCTCCTCTCCACTTCAGATACCGGAAGGGTACTAGCCGGTAACTCATACGAGAGCCAACTCTCATCCATCATGTCCGGAATCGGTGGGGGTTTCTCAATACTTCGATATATTACCCCATGTGAATCGGGCTCTGGAATGGTGGGAGGGACCTCTTCAACGATGACAGTGGCCTCTTGAACGGTGGGGGGGGAATCTTGAGGGAGAATAGGGGCCTCTTGAACGATTGGAGGGGACTCTTGAGGGATGACCGGTGAGTCGGGTTTCTTCTTGCGGAGTCTTCGCACCATTGGGGTGAACGGAGACGTAATAGCACGTCCACGCCGTCTGATGCGTGAACTCCGTCGTGCAAGGAAAACCCGACGTAAAGCATCCATCTTATCGGGCCGCTAAAAAAAATTAATACATAAATCAGTAAATAAACAGACATGATATTAAACAAAGACAAATATGTTTCAAACTAGCATTGTATTCACCCAAGTCATTATTCTATCATAGTTCACAAAATGCTCAGATAACATTCCAGAAGTAAGCACTTATATAAACATTTAAAAGGACAACATATATAAACATTCCAGAAGAAGAATAGTTTACTTTCGCAACACGAAACTTAAAATCGCAACGCGAAATGACTATCGCAACGGAAATGGCTATCGCAATGCGAAATGAAAATCGCAACGACAAAATCGCAACGCGAAATGAAATCGCAACGACAAAATCGCAACGCGAAACACAAATCACATTGCGATTTTCATTTTGCGTTGCGATTTTGTCGTTGCGATTTCATTTCGCATTGCGATTTTGTCGTTGCGATTTTCATTTCGCATTGCGATAGCCATTTTCGCGTTGCGATAGCCATTTTCGCGTTGCGATAGTCATTTTCGTGTTGCAAAAGTAAACTATTCTTCTTCTGCAAATTGAAACTTGAATGGATTGCATTACTTCAACCAAAAGACAAAAACAAAACCAAAAACAAATACTAACAAAAATAGTTTAGCAGTATTGGCAGCAACCGAATGAATTACGAGTATGAAAAATCTTAAACTTACCTCGTTGCGTAGAGTATGAACCTCATTCTGCAACGATCTACCATCTCACGTAGAGCGGCTACCTCACCGCGTAATGTAGACACCTCAACACGCCATGCACCATCGTCTTTGCGTAAAGTACCGACCTCCTCACGTAAGGCATTGACCTCATCACGTAACTCCCCTAACTCATCCCGTTGAGGTGGAGGTGGAGAACAGGGAGATAAACGTTGTGGCATCTTTGTCGGTCGCCTATCTTGCGGTGATGGTGGAGAAGAAGCTCGATGATGTGATAGAATAGGTGATGGCTGTCGTTGTGGAGGTGTATAGCCGGGTCGATCAGATGATGGCTCTGGGTGAGGTGATAGCTCTGGGCGAGGTGATGGCTCCCGAAGTGGAGGCTGCTCATCAACCGTTCCATCAAAAAAACGCTTACTAGCTTGCCACCAATCAGTGGCAAGCTCAGCTTCCGTGGGTGTCAGCCTCTGTAGAGGAGTGTTGGCCTCCTAACAATATAAAGCTCAAACAAAGTTAAACGTGTACTAGTAATAACTTGTTTATAAACATATGGTAGTATTTATGTTAACTTACATTATTTATTGTCGTATACCGTAGTAAATCTTCCCATTGCAAGGTCCGTTTCCTCTTCCAGGAAATAGCCCTGGAATATCATTTGAAGTTTTTATTGCATATGTCTTCATGGCGGGAAAGGCCTCAAATATCCAAATCTACAAACAATATAATAACAAACATTAGTAATTGTTAAATAATTACTTATAATTTTGGAAACATCATATAAAAATTCTTACCTTAAAGGCCCAAATAAAGCCTGTCAAAGTGTATTTGGAACCATCGCCATACAAACGTTTTCGATCATCCAAGGCAGACGATAACTTATTCCATGTAGCTTTCCATAAATACGAGCCCCACGGAAACAGGTTCCACGCATTTAGGTCTTCTACCAATTTGATTAGATCATTTGGAATAGGTTGTCTGGCCTCTCTGCCTAAAAAGCCGGCATGCAAAAGAATTAGAAGGCATACTCGGACAACGTCGACATCATCCATCCGAGTAAAACCGTCTTTATTATTCAACAATCTTGTCAGGTCTTCTACGTGTAGACTCGGCCTCTCCAGCTCAGGAAAAACCCGGGATAGCCATGATGGGCGGGTAATGTGTCTAGTGTACCGACCTACATCATCGTGTCCGAAGCATAGACCGGTGATTAAGCAAAACTCCTCCCACCCAAAACACGTATACACCGGTGGAAAATCAAACCATATCTCTTCATCACGACGTTGTATAGTCTCTGGTAGATCGCTAGTCATGGTTTGAAGAAACAGGTGTGTCAACATCGCATCTCCACCGGGATGTTGTACTTTCAGCCATGGCCCGAAGCATGTATCCTCAAACATTTTTCTTTGTGCAGGTGAAAGCTTCGACGCAATTGTTTTGGCCAGGCTGACTTTATTTCTCAAGGTCAATTGCGTCGAATAAAAGTTCTACAAAAACAATAATCATACTAAATTAGATATACCAAAAACTACACTGTGAAGATATACCAAAAACAATAATAAACATAAAGAGTAGTAGTTTATTCTTCAAACTTAAATTTGCAACACTGTGAATTTCGTATTTGTCTTTGTTTTTTGGTTGAAGTAATGCAATTCATTCAAGTTTCAATTTGCAGAAGAAGAATAGTTTCTGAAAATGAAAATCGCAACACGAAAATGACTATCGCAACGAGAGAATCGCAACGCGAAACTAAAATCGCGTTGCGATTTGCATTTCGCGTTGCGATTCTCGGTTGATTTAATAAGCAATCTAAGTGAAATGGTTAATCTATTATTGAAATTACCAGTAAACTTATCATCAATTTCAATATGAAAAACCTAATAATAATGCAAAAATTTCAAAAAGAAAATAATTAAAAAAACCAACCCTTGTTGGTTGATTTGGTTGATTTTCCATTTCTGATTGTGAGGGTGGCTCTGAGAGATGGAGATAGACGGATTTCGCCGGAGATGGGGACGGATTTCATCGGAGATGGGTGAGAGAGTGAGAGATGGAGATGGGACTGAGTTGTGATTTTAGGTTTTAGGTTATGAGTTGCGATTACGGGATATACTGTTGACGATTCAGTGTTCCAATATATTAATATTCGTGTTTGGAATTTAAAAATAAAATACTTGGCCAGGATACTAATGGCGCTTTGAAAATCGCATTGCGATTATGTATTATCGCGTTGCGAAAGTAAGTATCTCGTTGTGATTTTGTATTATCGCATTGCGATAGTCAGTATCGCATTGCGATTTTCCCAATTCGCGTTGCGATTTACTTATTCGCATTGCGATTTTCCCAATTCGCGTTGCGATTTACTTATTCGCATTGCGAATTGGGAAAATCGCAACGACACTGTAGACCATCGCAACGCGATTTTCAACTATCGCATTGCGAAAATGCAACGCGAATTTGCGATAATGGAGATCGCGTTGCGAATTAGCGATCGCATTGCGATTTTGTTGGTCATTTTGGCAAATCCGGAAAAAGTTGGTTAAAATCGTATATTCTATGAGATTTTTGGTCACTGAGGTTATTTTCTCTATTATTAAATCTACTAAATCATCACAGTGGTTAAATGAACTATTGTTATTACTTAAGATTTTGAATTCAAGTAGTTACGTTTATAGAATGTATGTTTCGAGAATGATTAAGAAAAAAATTATGAACATAAAAAAATATTTTATGTAAATTTATATATTAATTCTATATATTTTAGATATTTTCTTTTATTTCTGTTTTCGTCCTCATAAAATTTACAAGTTTTCTCTCCTTTAAAATTTTTAAAATTCACTCTAATATAAAATCTTTCTATGAGTATATGTAACTTCTTGTTATGAGTGTAGATGAACATATCATTTGTTGAATTGTTCGTGAACCGTTCATGTAATGTTAATTTATTTAGCTAAATAAACGAGTATGAACAAAATTTCTTTGTTCGTTTATTAAACGAACAAACACTAATAAAAGTGTGTTTAATTCTCTTATGTTCACGAACAAGCTTGTTTATCGATTCATTTACCCAATGTTTCTTTTCCTTTTATTTTTTTCATGTTAAATATTAGTGAAGATAAGGATTAAATTAAACAACCAATGTTTCTTTTCCTTTTATTTTTTTCATGTTAAATATTAGTGAAGATAAGGATTAAATTAAACAAATGGTGAACTTGGAGTTTAAACTGTGCAGCCTAAGGAAATATAGGACTAGTAGCGTAATTTCACCATTTTTGAAACATATAAACAAACTTGTTCAAGAACGCTAAACAAACTTGTACATGTATGTTAAACAAGCATGTTCGTGAACAATAAATAAACGAACATGAACGCTTTAAAAAATAAAGAAACAAACACAAACATATTCTTCTTCTTGAAAGAAAACACATATTTTTATTCATTCAAACTCGATTCATTTACGCCCCTGCTTCTTGTGAGAACTGCAATTCCAAAGATCATTACATGGAATGGATTAATATTATGCCTAACACTATAAGATGTTCATTCATGGACACCATATTTCATGAAACTGCTCTAAAAACACACCTTCATCCAAATTCTCTAACCTTTGAGCTAATTCATCGTCATCCCTAGTGAGAATTTTGGCCCCTTCTTCACCATCAAATTCCTCCATTTGTACCCTCCTTTGTTCCACACACTCATTTTTGCTGCCCGCCGTTAACGACTCGTTGCGAGTGCTCCCGGTCAGCGAGCTCCGCCGAGTAGAGTGGTCATGGCAGTGCTCGGCGCCTGTGTAGGTTATAATAAAAACTCGAGGATTCGAACAGCTACGCTCTACTTGCTTCCTTGCCAAACATCCTTTTGAGCTACTGCACCTATAATAGCTCCTGTTTTTTTTCACCATTCAAGCAAAACAACATTAATAGAAAATTAAACTACCCTTCAAATCTTGATCCACCAAAACATATTTAAAAAACTGTCTACTATTGAAACAGCGCTTGTTATATAACAATAACAATACTGTATGAAATCGTTAGTATGACTGCGACACTCATAATGATTACAGTAACATCCGATATGTCTGCAAATACAATTAGGGATTTAAATTGTATTCGTGGTTGCGTTATCATTTGTTTTGAAATTATCACGATTACATACACAACAAATGTTATTATGGTGATTGAGGGTATTGCAGTCATGCAATAATGGTACTGCTATATAACAGATACTATTGCTGTATTGAATCGCCTTTTAAATCTCAGGTCACGATAAACACAACACAACTAAGAATATAGCAAGAGATTAGAATCTTTAGTTTTGAACCTTGGAAATGGTGACCCTTTGATGGGTTTTTGCCCATATTTTCTCCAAGCCCACACATCCGATGGAAGCTCATCAGCTGTTACATGCTGCACCACTGTATTCTCCTTGTTCTTCCTGCTGAATTAATACATATGATCAAACTGTAATAAACTTAGGGTTTCCATAATCAAAATCTTTACTATTTTGAAATATAAAAGCGTGAATATATATATATAGATATATATATACTAACCTGAATCTTTTAGGTTTGTTTGAATCTTTATTTCCAGAAAAAGATTGCCTTTTTGGTTTCTCATCTGGTTCGTCAACATCTGGAGGGACTGGTAGGGAAGTTGTAATGATGGTTTGAGTTGAATTTGGAATCAAATGAGGGTAGAAAGGCCTGTAAATCTCCTCCAGCTTATCAAGAACTTTAGGGTTCGTTTCAAAAATTTCTGGGAAACTCATGAAATGATCTTCATCTTGCTGGAAACCCTAAATCTAATCCAAAAATATATATCTTTCACTCTATCTAACTATGACCAGTCTTTTTGAGATAAAACTCAAACTCGATCCGACCCGATCGGATCCAGAATAATATATTTATAAAATATATTACTTTTATTCAATAAAAAAATAGGCATTCAATTAAAATATATATAGATGGGTATTATTGCAATTATCCCTAAATATATAAGGTAAAATTATTTTTTTGGTCAGGTGGGGTCGGATATTTTTCACCCTAAGTCTGAACTCGATCTGACCCGAACATAATCCCTAAAAAACTTGACCTGAATCCAATTTTTTTTTAAAATCGACCCAATAAGGTCGGATCCTGTCGAGTTTGGGTCTCGTGTCCATCCCTAATAACATTGTACGTATTTTCATTATGGTTTTAGTTATTGTAAACTATCAATTTAACCACTTTATTGAGCAATCACATTTAATTAGTTGATCAAGTTGCTCATCTTAATTCTCTTATATTCCTAATCACTTAATTATTCTTATGTTTTTAGTATCCAACTATTAAAATTTATATGAATCAAGTGACCCAGTGGTTAAAAGGAATGATAGTTATTTATAGAGGTTCGGAGTTCAAGCACGACATCTACAAAATATTTGAGCATTTATTGTCAAATAGTCGAGAGTCATTTGAATATATATTACATTACAGTCACCCTAGATTAATAAAAAATTATTAACATTTTTATTATATATTAATAATAACTATTCATTTTAGTTATTGAGTGTTAAAAACTTATTAAAATGATTATATAGTCTAATATAATAATAATTTTAATTTTAAAAATTAATAGAATGTAATTTTGAAAATAAAAACTATTATTATATCAAGTCACATTATTATATTAATGATCAAACTAGATTGAAATTGTAACATTAGTAAATAATAAAATAAAAAAAAAGTTAGTAACAAGGCAACAAAAATAGAAACACTATAATAATCTGATGATTAATAAGTGATTTACTCTTATTTATTATGATAAAATTTAACATTTAATCATTCTATTTTAATTTAGTATAATTTTTAATTTAGTATAATTTGACATTTTTATTTAATTTTTGTAACGTTATCCTTAGCCCCAAATTGATAACAGCGTAGTTGCTGGTATTAAAATGATGAAATAAATTTTCTTTTTTGTCAAAAAAAGAAGAAGAAAACCTTAACATATAAATTTATTATTAATTGAAAATTTTCACATTTTGTGATGGAATAATAACAAAGAGAGATTTTGATGTCACTACTATAATAATAACCATTAAAAGTATTACCAATTTGAATCTATTAAGTAAATGAGTCATTTTATGTTAAATTAAAATAGATAATTTAAATCTACTAATAGAGTTGGTTCAAGTGGTAAACAAATTGATATCGCTTAATCATATCTCGAGTTCGAGACCTCATGTATGCAGAAAATCCCTTCTAGGAGACTCACACACTAAAAGAAGGTGTGCTACTCTGGTTGGTCCAAATTTATCAAGGAAAAACCTTATAAAACTGAGAGGAAAACAAAAAGAAATAGATAAATTAAAAATCTTAAATTGCAGCATAAAAAAGTGTAATTAAACCATTTTACATTCAATTAATAATGATAATAAGGGAGTAAGCATATTTGGTCGGTTGGCTAAGCTACCGATTTTTGTTCTTTCATATTTCCTTAGGCTATGAGTTCTAGACTTAGTAGGAGCACTCCTCGTTCTTCCCCTAGAATCCTCATTCCCCTCCCCTCGAGATTGAATTAGGATTAGGTTTAAAATTTGTCAAAAAAATTGATAATAAGGGTAAAGTACATGTTTAGTACCCCCAACTATCACTTTTGTTCTGTTTTGATCATCAAACTATCATTTTTTTCAAAATCATACCTAATGTCACGTTTTGGTTTCATTTTTGGTCACTCGTCATTAAAAGATTAACAGAACTACTGACGTGACATTTTTAAAAAATCTATATTAATATATTACTATAAGATAATGCCACGTTATCTTTGCCACTGAACAAAACTAATAGGTTGAGGCACTAAACTTGTAGTTCACCCTAATACTAATAAAATCTCGAGATGTTGAAAGATGTGATGAACCCATTAATTGCCACTTGCCCGTTTGTAGAATAGGGATATTGTCATGGTTGGTCCCTATTCTCATATACCAATGAAGCCATAGCCTTTCTTCGTTTCAGCATTCTCCCTTTCCATGGAATGGAACATACATGATCGGTAGCTATCTGCAACTTGTAAAGGATAATTACAAACAGGGATGAACAGAGGGGAATAGGTGAACGCGATCGCCTCTCCTAAATATTTTAAATTTTTATATATTTTAAATAATTTTTTTATTTTTGATTGAAAATATATTTCCTCTCCCTAATTCAGTAGCTTTATTGTTGGTTATGATAAGCTTTAAGGTTGTTTTGGAAGCTCAAGGGGTTAATGCTTTTGCTTCTCTAGTTGTGTTGCAATCCGTCAAATATGTGGCAACCTTGTTTTGTTGAAGTTGTCTAGTTTCTTAACTGGTTGTGTTGTACTCTTTTCCTTCAATTAAAATAAGGGGAGGTTTTTAACAAGGCTCACAATAGATGTTAAACGCCTTTATGATTAAATGAATAAAATTAATCTTACCGAGAAAAAATAAATATTTATAGAATCATTTTCCCTTAGAGTTTTATAATTTTTTCTCCTAACATAATTTTTTAAAGCATTATGGGTATGTAGCCTTTGAGCTAATAGTAGTATGGGTTGAAGAAACAAAAAAAAGAAGATATTATCACTTGAAGTGCAGGGAAACTCTGTATAGTGGAAGCTTAATTATTTTTGGTTTGGATATTGGACCACCAGTTTGCTTTTTCCTTTTTTTTCTTTTTTCATTATATTAATGCTCCAATTTGGGTTTGTAAGTCATTTTTCTAGTAATCAAACAGCTAGTTTTATTCCTGCAAATTGGGTCGTTTAAGACAAAATCACGACTTCACTTAATGTTACGTTTTGTTTTTTTAATTATTTATCGTTAAAAAATTAACAAAATTACGGACGTGAAATTTTTTTCCAATAATAATATGACATTATCTTACGATGATACATCAATATCACCATTAAATATTTTTAATATAGATGACCAAAATAAAATAAAAACTAAATATTAAATTTTAACATTGTTTAAATTTTAATAGAAATTGCCTGTCTAGCTCAGTTGGTAGAGCGCAAGGCTCTTAATCTTGTGGTCGTGGGATCGAGTCCCACGATGGGAAATTCATAATTCGGAAATCTCCTACGGAAACTGCTCTCAATATGACGTTGGGGACATCATACTATCCTACCTCCCCTTATCCGATATGATAATAAAGGTCGGCTAATTTTTAAATTTTAATAGAGATAGCGGGAAATGTTGAATGAAAGCAGCTGGTTTCCGCGTGGTGTACAGTTCCCAAACCACCAAACATTCTTTTTTTTTCATTTTTGGAAGATTTGGCAACCGACATTTGATGATTAATTATCATGATATAATTTTCAAAAGAAAAAAATTATCGTATATAAAAAATGTTTAATATATTTTTAAGTGTCTAAACTATATCTCAAATTGATTTTTATTGTCTAATTTTTTTTTCGTCTACTTAATATTTTTTTGTTACACTTTTAGGTATTTATCGTTAAAAAAACTCGTTAAGCTTGTTGGATGTTCGAATGATCGGACGCCGTCGAGATTTCAGCTGATTGGAGGAGGTTGTGGCGTTCGGTGGTGGTGAGGGATTGAAATAAGAGTTTTTTGAGATTTTGAGGTTTTTTTTTTCTAATTTCAAACATAGTTTTAAAAGGTGCACCAGAGATATCGCCCATGGAAGTCCAGGCGCAGCGCAACACTCGGGGGCTCGCCTTATCGCTTTTCTCGCGCTTTTACCAGGCGCAGGGATAATTTTAATTAAAAATAATATATATTTGTTATTATATTATAAACCAAAAGTTAAAACCCAAAACCCCCAGCCCTCGATTTGAGAAATCAATTAGGGAAAAAAAAGAAAAAAACCCTAACCCAACACACAGCCTGCTGATCAGCCTCCACCACCGCTAGCGAAGCACCAGCAGCAGCGTCGCTGTTGCAATCTATCATCACCGAGTGAGGTACGTCTTCTCTCTTTTTTTTCATTGCTGCCTTCTTCATTGTTGTCTGCAGACTCAGCTTCAGCCCACAGAGTCTACCTTCACCGCTTCAAGTTTTTTCTTTTCTTTTTTTTCTAGTTTAATAAATTAATTAAAATTGTTTGGGTATTTGGGAGATGAATTGTAAATTTTATTTGTACAAAAAGAAAAATATTAATGATGTATAAAAATAACTTTTTAAAATTTGTTCTAATATAATTTAACCTTTTGATATGTCATTTAAATTGGTTCTATAATAATTTAAATTCGGCTCTAATGCACATTCCGCCATTTTCTTAGATTCCACAATGATATGCAAAATATATATATGCAATTATGCATATATTGATACATACAAATAAATGAGAAAAATGATATGCAAAATATATATGTAATTATGCAATTATGTCAATAGTCTTTCAATAGTTTTATTCTCTTTTGTGGTTTGTTTGTCAATACAGTTAAATCTATTATTATTTATCTCTTGTTCGAGTTTATTTGGTTAGATTTTTTAACATTTTTCTTATATAGTCCTTGTGCAATTTTAAGTGGCTAATTATTTTGTGTTTAAGAAAATTTCTTATTATGTATAGTTTACCGTTGTGGTTGTAAATCTTTATTGTAATTTGAATATTTTTTTATTTTTAATAAAATTAGAAACTTCTATAATATATATATATATATATATATATATATATATATATATATATATATATATATATATATGAGAAAAATGGTGCATTACCAACACTAATTACAATCAGAAATGAAAGTTGGCAAATTTATATTTACAGTAAAACTCCAATATCTTAGTTTATTTTAATTTGTCAATCGTTATTCCTTTAATATTTGCTCTTCTTTTGATATTTATTTATACTTATATATTTTTGTTTATATTGTTTTAAATTTCAGCTAGTTGAAATGGAATCAGGGTTAGTTTCACCGGATATCAACTCCTATAGATTCGATAAGAAAATATGGAAAACCCGAACCTACAAATAAGAATAATTCCGTATGCAATTTTTGTATAAAAGTTTGTAAGGGAGGGGCACAACGAATGAAACAACATTTGACTGGAGGATTCAGAAATGTAACCAAATATCCTAAATGTCCTGAACATGTGAGGGAAGAAGTGAAGGATTTTATGATGAAGAAGGCTGAGGCAAAGGCCTCAATTTAATGATGCATCAAGAATCTCTACATGATGTCAATGATTTTGATAAAGAGAAAGAAGAGCTTGAGATATTAAGCACAAGTTGCGGTTTAATTGAAAAAAGTGGGAAAATTACATGAAAAACCAAGGCTCAATGTCCAATGGATTTGTTTCTTTCTTCTCCTAGAGCTAATCCAAATGGGGGAGGGGTGCACGCAGCTTATGATAAGGAATTAAGGTAGAGAACTTGTAGGTCGATTGCTAAATTTTTTTATGATGCTAGAATTGCATTCAATGTGGAAAATTATCCTACCTTCAAGGAGATGTGTGAAAGTATTGGACAATATGGTCTCGGATTGAAAGTACCCAACAACACGAGCTAAGAGTTCCTCTCCTAAAGAAAGAAGTGGAAGACACCCAAAAAATTATGGAAGATCATAAAAGGAGTGGGTGTTAAAAGGTTGTTCAATTTTATAGGATGGTTGGCATGATTCGGTCGCCCAAAAGATATTGTGAACTTCCTTGTCAACTCTCCAAAGGGGTCCAAGTGGTGACGGAAAATGCATCCAACTATATTAAAACAGGTAAAAAATAAGAGTTATTTACTTTCTTTTGGTTTTATTCAAGTCACTTGATTATTGAAATATTTTGAATTTAATTTATTGTTTTATTTAACTTCTATAGGAAAATCGTTAATGGCCATGAAACCAAATCTTTATTGGACTCCATGTGCAACACATTGCATTGATTTAATGTTATAATATATCGAAAAATTTTCAAAGGTGAAGAATGCACCAAAGAAGTGCATGTTCATGAATGACTACATATATAGCCACATTTCTCGTGTGAACATGATAAGAGGACAAATCAGATAAATTTGCATAGGCCGACAGTTATTAGATTCACGACATCTTTTATCAACCTTGCCCAGTTCCATAAACAAAGAATTAATTTAAGAAAGATGATTATTTCTCAAGAATGGAGTAAAACTAAATGGCCAAAGGAAGCGAGAGGAAAAAAGGTGGCATCCTACATTCTACAAGACACCTTTTGGAGAAATGTACTCTATGTGCTTAAGTTGACAGGATCTCTTATTAAGGTTCTCAGAATTGTTAATGGAGAGAAGAAACCACTTATGAGATATATTTACGAAGCCATGGATAGAGCCAAAGAAGCCATTTCTAAGAGTTTTGCAATGATGGAGGAGAATTAGAACAAAACTTTTTTGAATATATTGATAGAATATAAGATTGTGAACTTCACCAACCTTTACATGTGGCTGGCTACTTTTAAAACCCGGAGCTCTATTATGATCATCCTAAGACTTCATCTTATTAAGAAGTTATGAAGGGTTTATATGATTGCATTGCTAGGTTGAATCTAGAGATAGAAATTCAAGACAAAATCCTCACAAAATTAGATATATATCAAAATGCTCAAGGCCTTTTTGGCTTACCGATGGCCATTAGGCTAAGGAAGACTAAGTCCTCAGGTAAACTTACAATGTTTTGTCATTTTATTAATTTCTTTTTATCCTGCATTTGATGTGGTCTATCCATAGTATTAATTTTTTTTAAGAAAAGAGGAATTAGCTTAATATTTTGTCATTTTACAATATTTTGATTTTGTTTTTTTCACATCAGAGTGGTGATCTTCATTTAGATCTTTAACTCCAAACCTCCAAAAATTTGTAATTAGAGTCCTTAGTCTCACTTGTAGGGCTACTAGATGTGAGATGAATTGGGGTGATTTTCATATTGTAAGATTTTTTTTATATTTTCTTTCATAATATGGCAATTTATTAGTCTTTCATCCTTTTATAATTTATTTAAAATTTTACTTCTTGTAGCTTTATACGAAGAAAAGAAACAGATTGGCAGTTGATTAAATGATTTAATCTTTGTGAAATATAATTGTGCTTTGAGATGACGATATCAAAAGAAAGACACCATCGACCCTATTCTCTTGGAGGATATTGATGAAAGCAATGAGTGGTTAGTTGGGAGAAGGGAAGGCAACTCTTCTGATGATGAAAATGATTTTATGTTTGATGATAATGATGTCTGTTGGGATTTTCGGAAGCTCGATTCGACAATCGGAACGGTTTGCAAAGAGGGAGTGTTTAGGGAGTAAGGAGATTGAAAGATAGAGAATTGCACAGCGATTTATAGTGGTTCGACTTTCTCAACCAAAGTCTACGTCCACTACCTTAGCTCCTCACCAAGGATTTTCCAACAAATTCACTAATTTATGCTTTCTCTTGAGGATAAAGAGTAACCTTACAAACTCCCTAGTTTTTTAGGGTAAAACTAGAACCTTTCCCTAGCTTTTACACGGGATTAGCTAGAACCTTTCCCTTTTACAAAAATGATAAGAAATGTAAATAAGAAAACATCTCTAAGGTATGTGTTTACAAGATTGAGCTCACAAGAACAAAATATTTACAAGAGAAAGATGAAATAAGAATGAAAAACTCTTCTCTTGTGTTTGATTGCTTGGATATTTGTTCTCTTTCTTCTTCAAGTGTCCTTAGCTTGTATTTATAGCTTGGAATGTGTTTGATGTTGTATATAGTCATTGGGGATGTTTTGGAGCCGTTTGGGGATGATTTTCTACTCAAAATGTTTCCCATAACATGGTGCATCAGTGCACTATCATGGTGCATCGATACACCTTCATTAAATTCAAATAAACTAGTCGTTGTAGCCTTAGTGCATGGATGGACAACAGGATGCATCGATGCACAGCCTTGATGAATCGATGCACTAATTGCATTCGGTGTTTGAGTGCATGGATGCACTGCATGGTGCATCGATGCACTAGTGCAGGTGAATGGATGCACTGCAGGGATGCATGTATGCACTGCAGGGGTGCATGGATGCACTTTGACACCCTTTAGCATTTTGGCTCAAATCCGAATTTAATAGACTTTGAATTATTTTTAAAATCTTTTAAAACTTTGAATAAATTCAATTAAATCCAAAAACATTTTGTAAATTCAATTCAAGTCCAAAAGCCATTTTTCCTTAAATTGTTATATCAAAACATAGTTCAACAATCTCCCCCTTTTTGATATAACAAAACATTTAAAACATTGTTTTTGGCAAAACTCCCCCTTAATAAATTGGTTAATGAAAAAGATTTCAATTGTTAACAATTGTTGGAAAATATATGAAAATGTTAAGCTCCCCCTTTTTCATTTAGAAATTGAATTTTTCAAACCAAACTTCTCCCCATTTTTGTTATATCAAAAATAATTCGATCTTTGAAGTTCAAAATAACTTTGGAGGGTAAGTGGTAAATTTGACATTTAAAAATCATTTGAAAATCAAAGCTGCCCCTCAATAAATACATTCCAATCAAAATTTAGCTTTAAGAACTTGACACTTAAACAAAATTGAATTTCAACAAAGAATAACAAACATGTTAGTAGTACATGAAATTCAATATATCCAAGTCTAAAATACTTTATGAAATACCAATTGTTGAAATTTGATATTAATACCAATTGTTTAAAATTAAGTGTATTTGCATAAAGTTCCCAAAAATGTTATGCATTTTGAAAATTTTGATATCAATTGTTAGAGATATATCATTTTCATTTAAACCATATGCATAATCATTTAAATTTAGGTCAAAAATTTAAATTTGTAAATTCAAACATTTGAAAAGTTAATATCAATTGTTAGAGAGATATCATTTGCATTTAAAACCAATTTTGACCAAAATTCATTATGATGAACTAAAAATTCTGAAAAATTATTAAGACATTAAAATGTTCATCATAATTTCCTTTTAACATACATGAGATTAAAAATAATACGTAATTATTTAAAATCAAAACTCATGCATGCTTAAAATTAAATGAG